GTTGCCATAGATGATTTGGGGATTGATAATGGAATGGTTTCTGTTTTCTTTTTCCAGTGTGTTTATTGAGGACTAAATGAGCTTTTTTTAAATGGATGACAGAACAGGGATAGCAAAAAAGACAAACCTTACCAACAGCTACAAAGGATACAAAGTTGTGAAGAGCCATGATCACCCTGAATAGACATGTCACAGAAAAAAAAAGTTGTGATTATTAATATGGAAGACACTCTGCTCTTATGGTTGGGGGAGTATGAATCCACTTCTCTGGGCCATGATTAAATAGCAGGGCAGTTGGAGAAGTTTGTGCTGACAGAAGATGGGGGGGGGGTCCAAGCCCAGGTAAGTAGGTGGGGATAGGTGTAGCGTTAGCAACTCCATCCTGGAAAAACCAACTTGCTCCTGAAATTGCAGATGTGGTCCAACACTTCACAGGACACTGATCACTGATGGGAACGAATGAGGATGATTAAACAAATATATCAAAGCATATTATAGAAAATATCTATAGCGTATTTTATAGTAAATATATTGAAAAAATTTTAAATGTTACTCCTTTTTAATATTTTTCTTTCTGCAAGAAAACTTACGCAGAGTAATATTTCAGATGCTTAAGTGGTGCATTTTGACTTCTCACAGAAGAATTTGTATTAACCCACTCTTGAGTATTAGTCCTGGTACCAGTAAATGAATATCAATCGGAAGTATATAGTGATTTTCCAAGTATAGCTTAGATGTGGCACATGGTCAAAAGTATGAGGCACCCAGTGAGAATCAAATTTACTATTCAGTCATAATTGTTCTAGCGAGACAACCTTGCTAACCATTACACTGCCTTGAGGTGTCCTCAATCAGAAGTACATAATGAATATCACTATAGTAAAATTAGCATGCCAAACTGGAATTAAATGAATTTTGCAATTTTTGAACTAAATGCTTAAAAAAGTGATTTATTTTCAGTGTTCATGAATTGATGCAAGCAGTACAGAAAAATAGGATTGTAATATTGCAAAATTTAATTATCTGTAACAGACTCCATTGTAATTTATATACATTCAAAGGATGAAAAATGCAGTATCAGTCTGGTTAGAGACACAAAATGTCAGTTGCCTTGATCTCTCACTCTGGGCCCCTGCTGTTCATGACACTGGGCAATATGTCAGCTGTCCAGGTATATGCACTTTTACTCAGCTGCTCAGGTTCAAAGGGTTAAACAAAATATTTTCATATAAATTTTTCAGATTTACTTTTAAAATAAAATTTATTCCTTTATAAACAAAAATACTTTATTTTTTTTGTTTTTGTTTTTTTTTTTTTTTGTTTTGGTGTTAAATTTAATTTTTCAAACTCCTTTTAAAAGAACAACAAAAAAAAAACAACAACAAAGCTTCTTATAATACTACATAGGGAATGGCCTCCTTGGGGCTTAATCACATTACTAACACTCCTGATGATATAGGACTATACCAGAGGCATTCCTAATGTAGTAGGGACTAAACAGAAATTGTCATAAAAATGCAATGTAATGAAACATTTGATAAGTAAAAGAAAATATAATTTAAATAAAAACAGACCACTTCAAGGTTCCATGTAATAAATTATTTCACCACCGCCCTTTTAAAGGACTGCAGATCATCAGACTTTACTTCCAAACAAAAATGAAAAGAAAATTTACACATTTTTGACGGGCCGTATTAAACATGTAAAGTGAGGGGGGAGAGAGAAGACCTGAGTGAGTTAGCAGATATTGACACATTTAAACGGTTAACTTAACGGAAGTTATATATTGATATCGAAGGGGGAGAGAAGTTGTCACTAATTTTCTCTGTAAAAAAAAGGTTGGAAACAGACACTGTTATTTTGTTTTACTTTGAAAGTGTTATTTTGGGGAGTTCATAAAGATTATAATGTTTGATATGAATTTGAATGTCTCTAAACTGTCTACAAATAATTTAATTTGATGTTAGTGATTTAAATTTTTTTTTAAATGTTGGGGATTTTCTATGAAATAGTCGATTAGAAAAATATTCATGGAAAGTACATTTAAAAGAATAAAATTTTATTTTAAAATATAAGTTTACTTCTAGTAATCTTTTTTTTTTAATCTCTTTAAAAAAACTTTTATTATTGATTATTAAGTTGACATCTTTATACATTTGAATTTTGTTCATGAATTTAACTCTAGACTTTCTAGATAGGTAATCTCTTCTAATTTAAGTAATTTAAATAACAGCGTCTGTTTCCAACCTTTTTTTACAAAGAAAATTAGTGACAACTTCTCTCATAACTTCCTTATCTCTTTTTCTCTCTATGGGTTTTTTCTTCTCTACCCCTTCGATATCAATATATAACTTCCATTAAGTTAACCGTTTAAATGTGTCAATATCTGCTAACTCACTCATGTCTTCTCTCTTCCCCACCTCACTTCCTCAATTTACATATGTTTAATACGGCCCGTCAAAAATGTGTAAATTTTCTTTTCATTTTTGTTTGGAAGTAAAGTCTGATGATCCGCAGTCCTTTAAAAGGGCGGTGGTGAAATAATTTATTACTGTTTTTATTTAAATTATTTGCTCTGGGTTTACATTGAGCTCTCTGGATTTTATCCTCCTTAGGGTTACCCATATGGATTACCTACTTCTTCTTTAACTAACTAACATATATAAAATATAACTAAAACATAACATGTCCCCAAAAATCTTTGCACAGAGTTTACAAAATTTATAAAAAAAAAAAATTCTCAAATGTTTTGCTTTAAAAAATAGTTTAAACTACTGATTCATTAAATAATCACCATCTAGATATTGTCGGAGTTACCTCCTCCTTCGCTCCTTAAACTAAGAGAACAGGTCATTTCGACCTGACCTCTCGTTTGTGCTCCCTATATGCTGTAAACCTGTGGTAGAGACTGGCAAGTTCCCTTTTTAGTCAAGTTATATAACAAACCTAGTTGTAATATACTTTTAGACATTTTTAGGCCTTAGTTTCCTTTAGCTAATCTCGACTTATTTTTTTTATAGAGACTTTACGGTTAGCTTCACCAATTCTCTTGCTGGTCTCCCTTACCACAAGACAGTGACTTCTCACTGGATTGATTGGTGACGGACGAGTTCTTATGGTGAATGAGTAAATTGTAATGGGTCGTGAATCAAATTAGCTAGGTATAAGATAGGGAAGACCAGCCTTTTACCCCCTCCCCCTTTTCGGCCTTGTGCCACAATTTTGTATTTTTACAAAATAAATCCCGGTCGGCGACTGAAACGGTCGGATACGCAGGCCCCTGGCCTTCGCGGCCTGGAACGTCGAGCAACGGGCTGCGTATTACGCTCCCATTTTTTTTTTGTCTGCCAACTTGACGATAGTTGGGAACTTTCCTTCTCTCTCTCCTTCGCCTACTACTCCTGGCTCTTTCGGCCCCGTTCGACTCTCGGCATTCCGTCCCTACTGGCTGCCTGCACGTCGTCCATAACCTTTCCCGTACACAACGTTTGTAATTATTACGGGAGGAAACAAAAAAAACATTGAATATTAGATATTTTATTACGGGAGGTTACCGGACTCGACCAGCAAACACGCAACGCCTGCACTGGACCATTGACATGCCCGAACAACGCCAGCTCCTCTTTCCTTCCCAACACGTCAAGTTGGCATCCCGGCCAAGACCAACATCAACTGCAACAATCAACAGCAATCATCCTGCAACGACCAACAGCGATCACCTGTAACCAATATGATATATATCCTCGTTCTGTCGTCTATATTGTTTCACCTTGTCAGATTTAACGTCTTCTAAAATGTTAGCGGGCCTCTCGTGACCTCATTCACCCCTTTTGTGATACGGGGGCGCTCGGGGGTCTGCTACAATATCTCCTTAAGAAAAGTGATGTCTAATGTTTAAAATGCATTTTTAAAAAATGAAAAATCTTGAAGCGTCTATATTAGTTTTTTTTAATTCCAAGTCAGTAGATTAAATCAAACTTAATATTTCCAATACGCAAAATACTTTGCTGTATTTCAAACCAAGGTTAAAAATTGATTGGAATCTTTGTGGGGGCGGGCCAGTGAAATCTATGAAATTGTTCATATTAATAACAAATCAAATTCAAATCTGTTGACACACAGCATAATTCTCTTTATTAAAAATCTTTCAAAAACAAATTAACCGATCTAAAACATTGAGAAAAATTATTTGATTTAAACTAAAAGTGTCCATAATATTTTATTCCTGAAAGTGAAATCAATTAAAAAGCTTTTCTAATTTAATAATGTCATAGTTTTATTGCATTTTTTTTAATTTTCCATTCCGTGTTGAAGACAGAAAAATAAAAAATTTTAAACCATAATTTCCAAACTTCTAAAAAAGAAAAATAAATAAATTTTATATAAAAATATCGTTTGATCATTTTAATAAGTTTTGACAATTTTAATTTTTTGTGCATATTATATGCGCGGTTTCATTAATAAAAATATGACTAACAGCAAAAATCCGTACCAAGGAAATAAATAACTTTCTTTTTCAAAAGATTCGCTTTGTCTGTCGCACAATCGGTTTTTTACACAAGTTCAGTTTCACAGGTGAATTGACTAAGTCATTATTGTAGTCTGTTTCCCTTTTTTCAAATACTTTCGGTTTTTATTTATTTATTTATATATATAATTATGTATTCTCATTTTTAGCGAATTTTTGGAGTTACCTGTTAGTGTTACCTATTCCAAACCATTGCTTTCCTCGAAGTTGATAAAAGTAAAAAAAAAGACCATGACATTTATTTTTTTTTTTTTTTTAACATTCGATGTTGATGATGTTATTGTTATATTTTAATTTTTTCTAAATGGAACCAAGTAAAATAAAAAATAATGAAATTCTTAAAAGCGAAAGTGAAAAAGAAATTTCCTGGAAGTAAAAACCGAAAGTATTTGAAATAAAGAGAAACAACTGCGACTTGGTCAATTCATCTGCGAAAAAACTGAACTAGAGTGTATACCGATTTGTGGTACAGACAAGAAGGCGAATCTTTTTTGAAAAAGAAAGTTATTTATTTCCTTGGTACAGATTTTTACCGATTTGGGATTTTATTATTTAGGTGAGTTATGTTTTTATTTCAATCATCTGGAAATTTTGTGTAGCAAATAATCGCATTTAAATCAGAATCAGTTTTTTATTGGGCTTAAATTTGAACAACAACAACAATAATGTCTCATGCATACGCACTGTGTTTCGCATAAGACTAGAGACGTCCTTGTGTCCCCCCCCCAAAAAAAAACTATATAACATGTTAAAAATAAAATAAAACTACAAAGTTTTCGTTATTGTACTATGGAGTATTAGCCAGTTTCTTAATCTTCTGTTTATTATTTTTATTTACCCGTCATGGGATTAAATTTGAAAAATCAGGAAAAAAAACAAAACTAGACCACTTTGTTTTCTGAAATGAAAGCAAAAAAAAAAAAAAGGAGGCTACAACGTGTTAGTTAAGATTTGCCAAAAATCAAGGAATTAATCGATTCAAACAGAATTTTAAGTATTTATTTATTAAGGAATGAATTGTATGAATACTGATTGTGAATAGGTTATTTTATCACAAAAGAAAATGGGAGGGGCATGGTGGGGTCATGTTTTATCCTCCTCATTTTAATTTGGGAAGGGGTGTTCGTCCAATTTTTTTAGTTTCATAAAGATAAAAATCTCTGAAGATATTTCAGTAAAAACATTACAATATCAAGTGTGAACAATAATTAAATTTCGACCCGCATCTTACCAAAAGTAATTCTAATCGATGAAAAAAAGTGTTGTTTTTTTTTGATAGTTGGTGCTTCCATAATTTAATAAGGCGTTATTTTCTTTCAGATTAAAACAAAAATCTATTCTACACTTATTTATTTAAAAAATTTTTTGCGATTTTGAAATTCATCTTATTGTTGTTCTTCACCAGAGTTTAATTTTATGTTTGAAGAACAAAAAAAAAAAGTGTAAAGTTTAAAAATGCTATTTTCAAGTGTAAACCTTGTTTAAAAGAATTTGTATTTTATTTTTATTCAATTTGAACGACTGTTAGATATGGATAGACAAAAAGGACCGACTATTCAATATCGAAAGAGAATAATATGAATTAATTTTCATATTCAGTCAGTTTTAGTTTTTGTTGTCTTGAAAGCACTGTTTTCCGATTCATCTGCACGGGCGTTTTTTCCGCATGTCTCCTAAATTTATTTACAGGTTCTTGTAACCAATCAACTTGACACTTAATTAATTAAAAAGTAAGTTATTTTTATTTTAAGTTTTTATTATTTTAAAAACAAACCTCTCTTGTTTTTTTTTTGTTAAATACACTATTTTTGTTTTTGGTAACGCCTTCAATATTCATTAGCACTAAGTTTAATTAAAAAAAAGTGTATATAATATAAAAAAAATATATTGATTTCTTAAACCGAATACTTATTGCATCGCTGTGGTCTTGCCTACTTTATTATTATTTAATTTTCACTGACGGGGGTAGAATTACGGTATTTCTTTTTTTGCTCTTTGACGTCTCAGGCCATCGTGTGTAAAATGAAACATTATTTTCCATCTGTTAAAAAAAAAAAAATTAGTAGAAAATCTAGTTGAGTCTTAAATTTAGTAACAGACATCGAACCAAATCTCTTGCTTGAATAAATACTGGATTTTAAACTAAAGATAATTTTAAAGGTGGTATCGTCTACAATGGTGGCTTGAGCGACAAAAAAGTGCCAGTATTTTAAAAATGACTAAAAAGTTTTATATTCGGAAATTAATTTTTCTTTCTATTCAAATTGGCGGTTTTATCATTATTATTATTATTATTTTGTATTTATTTATTTATTTATTTTTTTGAAGGCCATTCTCTTTCAAATTAGAACCGAAATTTAAGTTCAAGGAAGGCATTTTTAAATTGCGTTTTCCGATTTTTTTTGTAAGAAAGTCCGTAACGGTATCTTCTTTCAGATTGGAAATAAATACACGTTTTTAATAATGGTATTTTTAAGTGACTGTCTACCTACTTCTTTTTAAAGAATTTTCTTCTTTGACATTTTTATTTTTTAGTATGGATGTTCAAAAAGGAATTCTGAATTACCGCATTTGACCAGTTTTTTCCCCTATCGGAAGACTAATTGAAATTACAAAGTTGGAAAAAAGTAAAAAAACATAAATAAAGTAAATGAATCCCAAATCTCCATCTCGGAGGTTGAGCCTGATCTTGTGTTTATGACGGAAAAATAAAATGGATTCAATATCTGTCTGCTAAAAATCCAAATCAAGACTTCACGATCTGGGGCTACACACCGCTGCTCACCAAAGATGACCCTCTTAAAAAATCAGTGATTTTCAAACGGCGTGCTGCGAAAACTTTTAAGTCATTAATAAATAATTTTCGAAAGAAATCCAAAGTACAATCAATGTGTACATATTCAAAATTAAAACGGCTTTTAAATTGTTTAAAGTAAATAAACGTAAATTTAAAGCGGTGGGGGTGTGCCAAATGAGGTCGCAAGGTTTGACAAGGACTTGCTGATAATCAGTTAAACACCGATAAATAGCAAAGCCGCAAAATCGTCCAAAGTTGATTTCAGGAATAACTCGGCAATTCCTCATTGTGCACGAAGTAGTGGACATGTTGCTCGTATACTGAAATTTTTTTATTAATTAATGGACAAGTTTTTAATTAAGAAACAGAAATTAGAAGTCAACGCTACATCAACAACGAAATTAAAAATAAATTATTCGTCAATATAATGAAAATTGAAAATTATTTATCATTCGGTTTCTTACTAAAAAGGAAATCCACCACATCCTACATGCATAATTGTGGCGAAAAACTAGTAAACGAAACTTTGGTTCCTACTTCCTAGCAAATTAAAGAGACATTTTTTACAATCCAGACCTTCCCATTTTTGTCCGAAAGTGGTGGAATACTTCAAAATGACTTGCACTTAACTTCAGAACAAAAATGTTGATCAAATATGCAAGGATACCAGATAAAAACTAAAAAGCACAAGAAGTAAGTTATGCAGTTGGAGAAATCGTAGCTAAGACAAAGCTCATACAATTGCAAAATCAGTTATTTTACCGACCTGTTGAGCAATTAAAAAACAACATTTATTTTAGAGAAGAATACGAGAACATTTTTGAAATTTTGCTCTAAGATAATACAGTTTCTCAGCGTATTAATGATTAATCTGATAATATAGAATTATTTCTTCAAGTAATTTAATATCTCCCCTCAAAGAAAAAAACATGTAGGTTTTTTTTGCTCAAACTGATATCCGGGGAAACAACCAACTTTTGTTTGTAAAGAAGAAATCATAGAATAGATCTTATTTTGTCGACCACTACAAACAAAGGGCCAAGATATTTTCGATTTGATCGATAATTACTTCAATTGTAATAACTTGTCTTGGAATTCCTGCATAGCATAATTTAATTATTGTATAGATGGAACCCCGTCTATGTTCAGAAGTGTAGAGAAAAAGCAATAAGCTCATATATCAAATAAATGTTGAATTATAATGAACAGAAATAGAAATAAATATAAGTTCTCTTAAGAATTTTAAATTTTAATTATTATTTTTTATTACAAATTATAATATAGGTACCTAAAAGCTATACCTAGGGTTTAAAAATTAAAATGATTTAAAAATGCATTTAAAAACTTAAGAATCAGTAAGTTTAGAATCAGGGGCCATAATTCGCTAGTTATTCGAAGGAAACTAGTTGACTGGTTTAGAGATTTTGTAGGGATGGGTGCTGCTATGTAACTGGAAAAAAATGAAAGAAGGAAAACTGGTGAAAAAAATTGGAGATCCAATGAAAATAGTGAAGATTGCTGAAACATTGATTGTAAAAAGAAAACATAACCACTGCTGAATGCTTCATCACTAATGGCTCTTTGGATGAATTGAAAGAAATTCTTATGAATTTAAAAAAATTATTTAATTAATTACTTTGTAGAATTGGGTCATAGAGAATAGCTGGCTTCATAAAACGGATTCTCAGAACCAACAAGTATCCGCACGAATAATATATATATATATAATCTCGAGAAAAAAAATCAAAAAATGATGTATTTGAAAAACAAACGATATAAATTTTAACTCGCGAATTATGGCCCCTGTTTTATGCCCCCCCCCATTCTCGACTTACCGAAAAATCTTTCAGAAGCATTTATTTCTATTTTAATTTAGACAGATAATAAATGTAATATTTTCAATAAACAAAAACCGAATTGATTGGAATTATTTTTATTTTTTTAATCGCTAAAATCGGCCATATTGACAAATAAAATAAAATTAAATAAGTGGGGTGAGGGTAACATATAAAAAAATATTTTTACCAAGATTTTCTAAAAAGGAGATATTTCTAAAATAATTTCAATCATTTGTGGATAAATCCTGAAAGTTTCATTAAAATTCAAAAATTATCTGATTTTTGCAAGAATTTCCAAATCAATGTTTATCACTGCAAATGATGCTAAAATTTCCCATACTAATTTATGGTCACCTGCTGATGCAAGAGTAAAGAAAAATTAACCAAAATTTTGAAGGTTCTAAAAAAGATTAAAAAATATAATTTAATAATCAAAAAATCCTTTGGTCATTCCTCTTAATAATAACAAACATTTTGATGATAAAATCTGATTAAGTTTTGGTCATATTTTTCATCATGTATATTTTTAAAAAATGTTAACAACCAGGATATAGGCTGCGAGCTAGTGAGAAGGAAGCAGCCTATTCAAAGCAGATCTATTGTTGCTACATTGAAAACAAACATACTTTTCTTCACCACATGGTCTAGCGGTGACTATATATTTTCTTCTAGACTTTTTCTCACTTTCCCTATCTCTTGTATGCACAAGGACTTTTACACTTGAAACTTCAACTTTTACCTTATCCTTCTGTATTATTATTATGTGTTTATAATGATTTATTTTGTATTTATCAACACTATATATTTTCTTTTAATCATTAAACTATGCCAATATACACCCAAATCAATTATACAAGTATATGGTGGGAACAGACATTGTTGTAAGATAAATAATCTCATCCATAACTGATAAGCTCTATAAGTAGTAATCTCCAATGTACCTGATATATGTAAAAAAAAAAAAAAATTACACCATGTGCAACAGTGAGACTGAACAGATGCCCTCTGCCCAACATCATTCATATGCTGGTGTCACTTTCTTCATTTATAGTTAGAAAATTACAACCAGCTATACTCCAATCAAAAAACTATGAAAAACTCAAAGAAGCCATAAAAATGGAAAAATGGCAGATGATCTTCAAATTCAAATGGATAGAGATGTCAACTTAATAATCAATAATAAAAGTTTTTTTAAAGAGATTTAAAAAAAAGATTACTAGAAGTAAACTTATATTTTAAAATAAAATTTTATTCTTTTAATGTACTTTCTATGAATATTTTTCTAATCGACTATTTCATAGAAAATCACCAACATTTAAAAAAAAATTTAAATCACTAACAAACATCAAATTAAATTATTTGTAGACAGTTTAGAGACATTTAAATTTATATCAAACATTATAATCTTTATGAACCTTCAAAATAACAGCGTCTGTTTCCAACCTTTTTTTACAAAGAAAATTAGTGACAACTTCTCTCATAACTTCCTTCTCTCTTTTTCTCTCTATGGGTTTTTTCTTCTCTACCCCTTCGATATCAATATATAACTTCCATTAAGTTAACCGTTTAAATGCGTCAATATCTGCTAACTCACTCATGTCTTCTCTCTTCCCCACCTCACTTCCTCACTTTGTTAATTTACATATGTTTAATACGGCCCATCAAAAATGTGTAAATTTTCTTTTCATTTTTTGTTTGGAAGTAAAGTCTGATGATCCGCAGTCCTTTAAAAGGGCTGTGGTGAAATAATTTATTACATGGAACTTTAAAGTGGTCTGTTTTTATTTAAATAATTTGAATTTCTTCATATAAAGTTGTTTAAAAAAAAAAAACAGTTTTCCTGAGTAATTCTGAAAGGTAACATCTTTAAGACCAACAGTTTTATAATACTTGATATCAAGTGATAGTGATAATAATAAAATAAATTGCCATCAGGTCTCCTGATGAGCAGATGTAATTCTGTGAATTTCAGTCATAAGTTATTTATTTAAAATTATTTATATACAGTATTGACCAAAACTTTGTTCTATTAGTTGGTATTTTATATACATATAAATATTTATTTTTCATTTCAGCTCTGCCAACAATACATTTAAAAGTTTTGAGTTCTCAACAAGAAAATTAAATACTGAATTTACAGAGACATGGAAGAATCCGTATTTGAAAACTTTATATGTAATTTGTGCCTTGAACTGTACACAGAACCGAAATCTCTCCCCTGCCTGCACTCTTTCTGTCGTGAGTGCCTTCTTTGTTATCTACAATCAAAACAGCCTTCAACTGCTTCATCATCTTCCATTCTTCATTATGACAGCATCCCCTGCCCTGTTTGCAAACAGAGGGTTAATCTTGAATGGCAGAAACATCTCACTTTTGGAAGCCTTGACGTGGTTGTAGATTCTTTTTGTGACAACTTTCACTTGGTCAGTATGATGCAGGATCTTGACATTAAGTCACTGACCAAATACTGTGGTATGTGCATTAATGATGACATTAAAGCTAGGGGTGTCGTTTGGTGCCAAGAGTGTAACCAGGCATTGTGCCACAACTGTGCCGATACACACCGTTCACTACGCATTACTGCATCTCATAAATTGTGCATGTCTAGCAGTATGAGAAAAATGAAGATGGGTAGCTCTGGTTATCCTTGCTCAAAGCACGAAGATGAAGAATTGAAGTCTTTCTGTATGAACTGTCAAATGTGCATCTGCTACAAGTGCCATATGACTAACCACAAAAAATGCTCAAATGTCCTGCTTTTAGAAGATGCCGTATGCAATTTCACACCAGAGGCAAAATTCATTGTTGAGGATTTGAAAAGACAAATGGAAAGCATGGTAAATCTGCAAGACAAGATCACAAGACGGGTAAGTTTAAAAGTTTTTAAAATTGCAGTTGTCAATCAGAAATTAGTCAAGTTTAAGTCCATTTTCAGTGTAACAAATATATACTTGAAAGTTAGAGTTAATAGGTATTATGTCTAATGGAAAATCAATACTGATCCACTTGTCCCACCAATGCACAAAAGCATAAATACCCTCCTCCAAGAATATAGCATAAAGCAACAAGAGCCACCATTACACCTCTGCAACAATAGCATCATCTCAGTGGAACTGCTTCCTGTATAAATGTCATTTGAGCTGATGATAGCTTAAAGAAATAAAGTCTGGACTATGCAGTGTATGTGGTAAAACATTCCACCCAAATGTGTCTGGAGGTACCTTTTTATCAGGTTGGCTGTGTGCAGGGTAGAGTTGTCATGCAGTAGGAGGACATGTTTACGCAAATTTTCCAATCTCTGTCAAGGAACAAAAAAACCTCTGTTTGTCCAGTGTTTCTCAGTATCTAATGGCAATCTCTGACCATGTAGTATGAAATCCATTTTCAATAAAATGAATATATTCTTGAACAGTAGAGGTATACACCTGAAGATTATATATGATGGATGTCTGAAAAGTAAGTTACAGACACTTACTAATACAACATGTTTATTACTATACAAATAAAACATTGTTAATATGTTACCAACACTACTTTGATTTTTTCCACATAGGCACCGTCAAGAGTGATCCATTTGTTCTATTGATACCCTCCTCAAAAATGTGGCGTCAAACAACTGGAACCACCTTAGCACCAATGGTGTCATCTGTTTCAAACCACTTCTTGATGAATGTTGTTTGAGAGGTCCAAACAGATAATATTCTAAAGATATAAAATAAACAGAGCTTTGTGGTGGACGAAGTAAAATATCCCAGTTATATCACTGGACCCACTCTTTTCTTGGGTGGCATTGTCATACAGCAATATGACACCCTTATCCAATCACCCAGGTCTTTTTCAAAGAACAGCAACCCTCTTTTTGTAACCAATGTTTCAGGGTATCTGACTCTGAATATGATATCCACATGTCTGGTATCCTAAGACACAGTCAACCATCAACTTCTTCACTTACTGCTGAACTTTGAACCTCCATGATGATCAATGCTTCCAGATCATGGAATCAACCTTTGTCTCTGGGATGACATGATACACCTAGCTCTCATCACCCATATATATATATATATATATATATATATACACACACACATTTGATAGAAATTATTAGGAGGATTTGAGATATTTGGAACTCATCAGCAGTGCGCATCGACTAGTAAGAATTGAAGCCTGGACAGTTATGATATGAGGTAAACATCATATCAACTGTAACAACAGGCTTCAGTGACGAAGAGATAATGAATTTGACTCAATATAGCACCACTCAGTCACATATTCTGTGGTGGAACTCATCCTAGTTTCACTTACCCATAGGACTGTGCCCCCATGAGCCATGACTACTATTCCCAAGCCATTCTATCCAGAGTATTAGAAACCGGTTCAAGAAAGGATATACAAGTTATAGAAATTATTGGAAGGATTTGAGATAATCATAATTAAGTAATTCATTGAGTCTAGAAGAAACCTCAACAGAATGCAGAAAGCACTGGATGGCCATTTTGCCCTATATTTGAGACTCATCAGCAGTACGCATCCACTACTGAGAACTGAAACCTGGACAGTTACGATATGAGGCAAACGTCATACCAACTGTACCAACGGGCCTCAGTGATGAAGAGGTAACAAGTTAAACTCAGTATAGCATTGCTCGATCACATATTCCGTGGTGGAACTCATCTGAGTTTCCCTTACCCATAGGACTTTGTATGTTTTTATATTCCTATATAAGCAGCCAGGATAATACTCGCCCACAGTTTTGTGCAGTTTGCAAGATCTGATCTCTATTGTTAGCCGTAATTAGTTTACTAATCTGTATCTTGGGAAGACTGGTGGTATTTTCTTTTAGTTTTTGACTCTGTTCTCAAAAACAAAAAAAATTTAAAAAACTCAACAAAAATACCACCAACCTCCCCAAGACACAGATTAATAAATTTATTACAGTTAACAACATAGAAATTGGATCCCTTAAACTCCACAAAACTGTGGGTGAGTATTACTCTGGTACAGACACACACACACACACACACACCATTATATATTTCTAAAGAAGTAATGGATGTTTTATTAATCCAACAGATTTTATTATACAAACGTTATTTTCAGTAGATACCCATATTTGAGTAAACACTTTTATTTTTGTCTACCAGTCTGAATATTTGAGAAATCTTATGCAGTGGCAGCAGCAAGAGCATAGACTTTCTCCTCTCCTGCCAGGGTGGATTAGGTCATTAGATTTAAACTGCTATGATTTCTCTCTTGGCACTTTGATTTTGACTTACCTAGAGGAACTACTTAAATTTTAAACCAGACTCTTATTACACACCATAGGCCTAAAAGTTGGTGCCACTCTCTGAATTTTAAAATTGAAAGTTGCAATTTACTAGCTTTGGGCCAAAGTTAATTTCTCTTCCTGCAGGGTTTTATTATATGTTCAATAATAATAATAATAATAATGAAATTAACCCATTACTTTTGGCCTATAATGTACACTGAAAAGTCATCATCAGCTCTCCTATCCCTTTCTAAAAACTGAAAAGAAATGTTGTGTTCTTTAGTCAATTATTTTTTTCTTTTTCCTATAAGCATTATTTTTACTGGGTACATATGTGAGTTGACATCACTGTTATATTAAACAGTGAAATTAACACCTACTGGTCTAGAAATCAGGAGGTTCTTAATAAAGAAAAATATGCCCTCTTGGCAGGAATTGAACCTTTATTCCTTTTCCCATCAGGAAACCATTCCTTTTTTTTTTTGCCAAAGTCTGCCTTATAAATTAGGCCAAGGGAAACCAATATGATAAAGCAAATCTCAGTTACTTACTTAATTGTTGGGGCTTTCTGAAGTTTATACTTGCTAGCTTTATTTTTGAACCTGAAATGTAAACAAAATATATTTTTTAAAGTGGATTTTTTTAATTTGATTATGTCTTATTAGTATCACAGAATGTTTCAAATACAAAGAGTATTCAAACATGTTTTCTTTTAAACCTGAAGTAACAAACAGTTTTTAATTGGTATAATGCCTTTGGAAAATACATGAATCTGTCCTCCTCCAGCTATAGGTTAAATAACAGGGCAAATTGCCTTATAGGTATTTACTTGACTCCCACAAGGTCAAGATGTGACACAAGGTCGATTAACATGGGAAACCCGAGTGTTTCCACTCAAAGGCCACTGGTCAAAATTGGTCATAGCATGTCCAAGCTGGTCAGAGCTTAGTCAAAGCTGGTCATGACTTGTCCTAGCAAGCTAGTCGAAGCCTTGATTGAATCTCAGCCATAGGCCAAGAAACGATCCAATATTTGTCAAAACGCATAACGCCAGGGAAGTATAAGTCAAATTGCCTTATATGTGACAGAGGAGATGTGGGAATTTTAAATTTAAATATTGTCTTTGAAATTCACTTACAAAATTAATATGTTGTTCCATATATAGGTATCACAGTTAATACAAATATAAAATTTGTCACTTATCTGATTAATGTTATATTCAGCACTTTTACTTCAGATTTTCGTAAATGAACCTTTGTGCAATAATTCGGTCCACTCATCAGGAGGAATCATTGTCAGTCAATTTTTCTGTTTCATTATTTTTATATTATGTTAAAAAAATAATCAAAATACATTTATTAGTAAAAATTTTGAAAAGTTTGAATATTTACATATAGATTATTAGAAAAGATGTGATTGGTCCTTCACAAACCACCACTACTATAATCAAATAATATATGATTGTAGTCTGGTTGGTTGGTTAAAACATTTGACCTTCATACATTGATGATGATAGGAAAGTATAACTGATTTTGATATGGACAGTTGCAATGTGAGAATAGCTATAGCTCTTATTACATGTCATTAAACATAATTGTTGATTCCAATCCTTTGGCATGAATATTTATTGTTTTTGTGATGTTGGACGGCTTTGCTTGTCACTTTTGCTATGTCAAGCGAAAGCTCATTATCACTTCCAAAAATGGTTGTAAAATTCAACACTTCATAGTCACCATTACTAGTAGTAACACCATCCAATAATATCCACACTAGTAATACTTGTTCAAGTAGTAATTGCCAAATAGTATAATGATCAGAAGAGAATCGTAATCTGTATAGTAGTAGAGTAGAGAGAGTGAACATATAGCAATAGCGGATAGACTAGAAAAGTGAACAGTGATCCATAGGAGAAAGTGATCAGTGAGTCACACACTACTTCCTATTTATTCACTTTCTTTATTATCACGTGATCTACTTAATAATGGAATCGCGTATGTTACTCACTGGCAATCTAGTTTCAAACCACAGTGTTGGCAACAACACTTACTCTTGTACAACAATTGTATATAAATATACAAATGTGGCACAAGGCCAAAAAGAGGGGAATGGACTAGGCTGATTATCATGGGTCTAAATTTAACTTAACTAGTCACATTCACTGACCCAAGCAATTATTATAATAAGTCCTTCCATCACAATACCTCATTTATACAGAAAATACATCCATGCCCCAATCACCAAAACAATGCATGTTCTCCATGAGATTATAAACTAATTACCCATATTTACAAGCATGTGGGGAGGGAGATAAAAAGTATAAATGATTTCTTTTTTAAAAATAATAAAAAATAACCCTGTGACAAGATGAAAAATTCTACAATGAAAATCTTAGTATAGGAACTCTCCCCACAACTAAATGTGTCAGAAAAGCAAGTTAACTGGTTGAAAAAGTACAGTGGGAACATGTAGAAAAAATAAAGTAAAAACAAAAATAAACATGAAATGAACCCACTGCTCCAGTGAACTACAACCTTCAGTCACCTAAAGGTGAGGTGGCAAGTGGAATGTTGTGGGCTAAAAAAAAAAATAGAAGGGTCCAATGAACATTCACTCTCTAACAAAGTTAACCAATTTTTGGGAAAAACAAAAAACTTCTACACTAGCCTAACTGGTCAGGGCAAGCATGTTTTTTTTCCAGAAGAACAAGTACTTCACTCAGTAAGCTCAAGATGCCACTCAAGCTTAGCACCATTCAAATGTACCAGTCATGCTAGTCATCCACATTTCAGTAAAGTCGTCAGAAAAAAGCTTCTCTCTCTCAACCCTGATCTTGAACTTCAGCTGGTGCTTAAAGAACGCAACCAAAGCCCTATGAGCTTCTTTCATCTTCATTGTCCATATTACCATTCTCAACATGGTGAGCACAAAGTGCTTCCTTCTGTTCACCAACAAGCTCACATTGTTACAAACAAAACTGGCAATAGAGGGCAATGAATTTTACACACAGCATGCAAACTATGTAGTTTTCAATAAGCTCACACAGCAGACATATGACTGGGCAATGAAAGAAGGTGTGTTCAATGGACTCCTCCATCCCACCCCAACAGACTCATTCTGGTGAAGCAACCAGCCCCATTGCAAAAGACTTTGTTGATCCAGAGCATGTTCCAAATCTTCAGCCAGGTGAGTGATGCCTCATCATTAGTGAGGCATTTCAACCTGGGTGTCCAAGGCCATATGGAGCAAAACTCCCCCTTTGTCAGACTGAGCACCTCTATCAGATTCGAATCCAGCAGTCTGCAGGAGAGCAGCCAGGTACTGATGGTCAACCCTGTCAAATGCTTTGGACAGATATAAATTGATCAGCATGGCTTTATTATCATCTTCTTCATTTTCTAGGATTATGTGGATCAGATGCAGGTTGTTTTGAATTGTTCAGCCCTACACTGCACAAGTTTGCTCAGGTCTCAACAAGCTTGGGATAACTGACTGCAAATGTTCCATCAGGATCTTGGCCAAAACTTTTAACTATGTTTTTAGCAGAGTTATGGACCTATAATCATCTAAATTCTGTCCAACACCCTTGCCTTTTTCAACAGCATGATCACACCCCTGAAAATTCGATCAGGAATGGACCTCTGCCAGAACCATTTGTTGAACACAACTGTCATAATCGGAACAAAGTGCATGATAACCTCAAGTACAGTTCATAGGGCAGGCCATCAAATCCCAGAGATTTTCCACTGCTGACCCCTTTGAATACCAAGTGAAGTTTGCCATCTTTGATCTCTCCCTTGCAGCTAGCCACTTTCAGTCAGCTCAAGTAAAGGAAAGTTAGCCAAATATCTACGGAACTGAGACCAGGCTCCATAGTAAAATGGCTCTCAAAATGCCACCAAAATGTCTCATGCATGTCTTTGGTCGACCTCAGAGAATGCTGCACCATTGACCAAATGTATCAAGTGGAAACTCGACAGATCTTTTTCTTGCACAATTCTGCACCCATATTCACATTTTCATTAGACATCTTGTTTTACCTATGTCTAATTACCTGACCCTAGTAGCACTTGCCTGACCAGCTAAGGCTATCTCTAGGAATTCACCCCCAGCCTCTGCTCAGGACAGACTATCCTGTAGAGTCTTCACCATCTTAGCCTTATCTAGAGCAGGTTGTTGGCTATATTTGGTGGTGAAAGACCTAAGCCTATTCTTAAGCTTCTCCCATCCCTTATTCCCAATAACTGCCCCAACTAGTTCCTGCTGCACTAATCTAGTTAGCTGTTGCCAGGACTCCCACCTGTCCAGTAAAGACAAGGTGATCCCAGATCTTGAGGTTACCCCTGGTGTTTAGAATAAGGGTGATTACACCAGGGACACTGGGAAAGTTCCTCAGGTCCTCCGTTGACATTCTGTGAGGAAAGGTCCCTCTTGAGGGTCTCCCTGTCCACATCACAGATCGTTTCCCCTCTAGGGAAATATCTTTTTCTTTCCTTGATATGGGTTGGAGAAGGAGAAGATAGAGCCCTAGAAAGGGAGGCTCCTTGCCTTACCTTGAGATCGTTCATCACTTCTTGCTGGTGCAGCAGGTGCAGATTGGGTCTTGGCAGCTACCAGGGCCTTTTCCGCCCTAATCCAACCAAATTTCCCTTCCTTTGATAAATTTATTGTCCTCTTCTTCCTCTTCATCCCTCCTCATTTTAAGTTAGGAGGATCATGGTGGAGATATTTCCTCTGCATATAGAGGTCCAGTTGCAGCAACTTCACCTCTTCCCCCTGATGATCAAGCTGCTGCTGTTGGGGCTCCTGCTCCTCCTGCTGCTGACTAGGTTATTCTGCTGTTGCTACTACTTTAATTGTTGTTGCTACTTCAGCTTCTTTGGTTCCTGTTGCTGCTTTGCCTGCTTCTGAGTTGGCTTAGCAGTGCCTTTGTCTGGGACATCCTACTGAGGAGGCAAAGTTGCTGCCTTGGCTCCTCTCCTCACCACTACTGTCCCCTCACTGAGTCCACTGGGGCCTTCTTCGGTACATCCTCCTTGCAGGTTGAGGCTGTGATGCCAGATTCTTGCCTGGACACAATTTTGCCAGGTGACCAGCAGCAACACAAGTCCAGCTGTGGAGATGGCAGCCCACCATGACCACAAAGATATTCCGGCCGCCTCAAGTAAGCCCATTTAGGACTTCATTGAACTTTTTGCAGGTCAATGTCATCATGAGCACATTGTCACTGGTGGCAATGCCCGCTTTACTCTTGATGCAGAACGCATCCTCCACTGGTCCATAATCTGAGAAGGAAACCCCTAAAGGGTCCTCCATGATGTACATGAGCACCCCATGCAAGGTAATCTGGATCTTCAACTCTGTCTGAAGTTTGAAGGATTTGGTGGTAAGTACACTCCTGGTCAACGCCTTCACCACCTCCTCTATTACCAGCAGGATGTTCCACATGGCATTCAATCTTCAAGCCAACACTTTGATCCAGATGTTCAAGGCCTTGAGACCCTCTTCCATCATCTCCCTGGAAACAACAATGAATTTCCTTGTCTTGATGTCAGCTATCAACAGGGAGGTGATTCTAGATTGCCTCCATTACTGAAGCACTGCAATCAGTTTATTGTTGGAGATGAAGGAGATATATTCTTCCGTCAGGCCATTAATATTCAAGCCCTTTTTTGAACCTTTCAATCACATATGCTGAAGTTGAAGGTGGCTATTGGCTCTTTTTGCTGGGGAGTGGGACTCTGCCATGGTGGAAGGGGTTCTCCTCCTCCCAAAACAGGAACAAACAAATGGTTGGTAGACAAAAATGGAGGCACAAAATAACAATGCAATGACAAACATAAAATAAAACTCACAATTCTCTGGGTGAGTCTACACTAAGTGCACTTATCCATTTAGACTGAGTGTGGTTATTGATTTCCAAGCTACAGGAAATGATTCCACTCCTGTATAGGAATGTCCCTAATCCTTGGGAATGAATGCAAAACACTTGTTAATCCTCCCCAATTTATAGGCAGAAGCATACAAATGCATGCTGGGATTTTTTTCCTAGCCAATAATACAGGCCGATTCTTGGTTTCATCAGACTCAGTCTGTTTTGTCTTGAAGTCAGAATGCTACATTTGCTTGTTCAAATTTGCTTTTGCATGTCAACTCCAATTCTTAGTTTGTGAACTTTTTTTTCCATTACTACTGCTTTTTGTACAGTAGAACCTCGTAGTACAAGTGCACAATTATACAAGCAACTTTATGAGCTGCCATTCGTGAGCATTTTTGTACAAGCAGCCATCATATACATGGGAACAGTCAGTGACTGAAGTAAAGGGAAACATTACCAGCTGACGTCATCTGCTTCTAAGAAACATGGTCAAAGACAAAGTGAAACACATCTGTGAACATCTGATGTCCAGAACATTTATTCATTTTGTTGGAGAAAATACTTCAGAGTACTTATCAGATAATATCACCTACTAATTCTATTGATTGCTTCCCTTTCCCAATGAGCATGAAGAGGAGCTGATGACAGAGGAACTTCAGCTGCTTCAGGAGCATCAAAACATGGAGGAGATAAAGGAACTAACCAAAGAGGAAAGTGTGTTGGAGGTTGCCCCCACAATGAAATCAAAGAAGTGTTAGTGATGTGGAAAAATACCACCCACAAAAATTAAGTGTAAGTCATGTGGCTGATTTGTTCAACAAAAATTGTGTTGAGTATTTTTGTGGCATTTTGAAATCAAGAATGAAACTGATTTCTATTGATATGTTTCTAAACAAATGACCTGCGAGTACCGGAGGTGAATCAAATTCCATAAAAGTCCTTAAGTTCTGAGCAAAAATGCCAGAAACTTTCTTCATGAAAGGTTTGTAGTTTGTTAAAATCTGTTTCTTTCTTTCATTCTCTCTTATCATGTTCATATTACATGTATTTTTGTGATTTAATTTCTTACTGTCAGTTTCCTATTTTTTTTAAATTCTAAAATGCTTTGGGGGAAATGAAACAGATTAATTAATCTTCCATTAATTTCAGTGGGAAAAATGCTTTGTAATATGTGTAATCTGCAATACTAGCTCAGTTTGGGGACTAATTAAACTTATGCTGCATGGTCCTACTGTACTATTTTTATTTTTAGGGATTTTTTGTTGTGAAGCCAGAACTTAGTAATTATATGCCAACTATTTCAGCATTGGTTTTACATTATCCAAATTTTATTGTTGTTTAATTAGGGAGTTAACTATCAAGTAACATTATTATTTAGTGTTTCTTTTAGTAATGACAAAAAAGAAATCTGTTAATTTCTAAATGTTATTCTTCTTATCACATCTTTTTTTATTTAGAGAAATTCCTACCAAGAAAATCGCGACAAAGTTGCTGCAGAGATCCAGAAAATGACTGCACGCCTTGTTGAAGCTTTGCAGAATAATGAAACCCAACTACTTGAAGAACTTGATAAATTTTGTGATGAAGAAGACCACAAGATGGAAACTTTGGAAAATGAGGTTAATAAATTACTGTCAATGCTGTCAGAGACAAATCAGATATTTGACACTTCCTTCCAAGGCAAGAACAAGCCACAGTTTCTAAATTTAATCACAACAATCAGCAAAGAGAGACTAAACAATGAGAAAGAAGTTGAAGAACTTAACTTGTGTATCAACCAGAAAAAACAAACATTCCATTTCGACATGAATGCCAAAATTCATGAGTGCCTCAGGCAGCTTGAGAAGCTGCCTTTAGGGACAGTGACTATTGCAACAGACACATTTTCAGAGGTTGGCAGCAAGGAAGAGTCTACAGTGACATACAGCTTACCAAAAATGGAATCGTCAACTTTTATGGATTCAATAAAGACTGTGGATTCAGCTACTGAAATGATAGTGACACATAAACCAAAGTCCAAGCAAAGGCATCTGCTGTCATGTTTCCATAACTCCTCCAAAAAACAAAAGGTGTACACATCAGTGAGCCAAGGAGAAAAAGAATCACTTATACCAGATGGTGTTATTTTTCTTTCTTCTGGTGAAGCATTTATTATATATTGGAAAAATAGAAGACTGAAACGGTTTGCATGATTGGAACATGTTTTACACTCTATACCTGGGTATTTCTCAATTACCTAATCTAATACTTCACATTCAACTTTGGGATACTATGAACATATATAATAGATTAAATTTAATATTTCCAATAAGTAAAATACTTTGCTCTATTTCAAAACTAATTTGACTTGAAGAAGTTGTTGCTAAAAAATTTGATTTTAGTACCATTTTTTAGCTCTCGCTCATTGCAACGTAATTCTCTTTATTAAAAAAAACTTCCAAAAATAAAATATACTTTTCTGAAACTTTATTTGAGAAATATTAGCTGATTTAAAACATAATTAATCTGATATGAAACAAATATTATTTACTATAAGTTTAAAATATTGCAGAAATGCATTTTTTAACACAGCGATAGTGGTTTATTTAAGCTTTTGACATGTTTCACAGTGAAGGCTTGTATTTGTACTAAGTCGGTCCTAAAATAGGTTTGACGTACAAAACATTAGGAACTTGATATAATAGGTAATGACGAAGAGAAATCTAGTGGTGGTCGCTGATACCTTAGTATCCGACTAACGGTCATCCGGCATCGACTGACTGACTGACTGACCGACCGACCCACTGCGCGACTCCTATTACTCCTACTTATTATAGGTGGGAGAGTCTATTAACAATAGAATAGGTGTGTTCCACTATAACATCCCCCCTAAAACTTTACTCCGTAGGAGTAAACAGTTTTGTTTTTGTTTTTTTTTTTTTTTTTACAGGAAAAATATATAAAAAAAAAAAAAACAAACAACTTTTTTTTAGCAACATCGTAGCGTATCTCCTTTGTTTTGGATCCACTTTTAAATGATCAGTTGCCTTTCTTTTTCTCCTGGATTGGCGCACCTCAGGTAAAATTGTTGCAGGCGTTGTTAGATCAAACGTATCAAAAAATCGCCTCTATCGGCGTTTCTTCCATGGGACCGCTGTCAACCACATCTGAAGCACGTCGTCTGATCTGGTTAATGTGCCTTCTGCACGTGAATTTTTTGCCTTTCACCAAGTACATCATATTGCCATTCCGCTTTTCTATTTTTTATTTATTCTGCTTATAGACCTTAAAATATATTTTTTTCACCAGGATTGTATTTTGTTTTACTTGAATAAATTTTTCTCTACCTGGCTTTGTCTTTTTTGGTAATAATTTGTCGAAGACAGATCTTACCCAACATGCGAACATCACCTCGGCTGGCGACTGTGAGGCTGGTGTTCCGTTATTTGGGGCAATTCTGTATACCTGTAGAAACTTCTGTAGGGCTTCATCTGCAGGTATTTCCCTAGCTTTCTTTAGAGCTCTTTTCAGAGTGTCCACAAATTTTTCAGCTAACCCGTTTGATCTTGGGTGATATGGAGTTGTGGTAACATGTTCAACATTGTATTCCTTGCAGAAATCTTTAAATTGTTTCAACGTAAACTGACTTCCGTTGTCCGTCACAATTGTGTCTACTACACCAAACCTTGCGAACAATTCCAGCGGGAAATTTTTAGTACTTTCTTATCCTTTGTATCTCAGGCCATTTCGAGAAACTATCCACTACTATGATGTAATGGTATCCATTCAGTGGACCTGCAAAATTCACATGTAACCTAGACCATGGTAAGTCTGTTTTTGGCCAAGAGTTAAATTTTATTGGGGGTGCCTTTACAGCTAAAGCACAGCCTTTACATTTTGCCACTGTGTTCTCAATGTCCCTGTCCATATTTGGCCAATATACAAAACTTCGCATTAGGCTCTTCATTCTAGTGCTGCCTGGGTGACCAGTATGAAAATCCTTTAGTATTTGCTTCTGCAGTGTGTATGGAATCACCACACGTTCTCTGTACAACAATACTGTATCGCAAAGCGAAAAAACATTTGTTGTGTACTGGTCCCTCTTGGCTATTTTTTCTTTTATTTTCAAAATATACTTGTCCCTGGTGGCTTCTTTTATTTTTTCTAGAGTTACCGGAAGTTCCCGAACTGCATTACATACAGTAAATTTCAGCTCTTCTTCTGACTTCAGTGAGGCAATTACTGTATCTTCTAAAGGTTCACTCATTTTTGGAATTAACATGGACAGCCCATCAACATAGCCAAATTTATTCGATGGTATGTACTCCATGCTAAAGTTATAGTTTAGCAATATTGTACCCCATCTCTGTAGACGGTTGGCTGTATGCGTCGGCAAACCCTTTTTCGATTCAAAAATCAAAATTAGAGGCTTATAGTTGGTTTGTAGCTTAAAATGTCGACCATGGAGAAAACGGTGAAATTTTGCTACTGCAAAAATTATTCCTAGTGCCTCTTTCTCTATCTGAGAGTAATTCTTCTCAGCTGGAAGTAGTGCTCTAGAAGCATGAGCAATTGGTTTTACTTGACCATTTGTCATTTTGTGTAAGATACATGCTCCTACTCCATACGCACTTGCATCACAAGCTACTATGATCTCTAACTCCGGGTTGTAATGGGTTAAAAATAATTCCGAGGTTAACACTTCCTTTATCTTTTCAAATGCTTTTTGGCATTCATTAGTCCATTTCCAGGGTTTTCCTTTCTTCAGTAGTTCATTTAATGGTGCCCGCAGATCATACATTTTAGGGATGTATATTTGGTAATAATTGGCTAATCCCAAAAAACTTTGTAATGTGGTAATATCATTCGAAGCCGGCATATCTTTTATAGCCGCTGCTCGCTTTGGGTCTGGCCTTCTACCATTCTTATCGATGATCTGCCCCAGATATTTTATTTTCTCCATAAAAACTCACATTTGTTTTCCTTGAGTTTAAATCCCAAATCCTATATTCTTGAAACTACTGCATTTACATGTTCCACGTGTTCTGCTATACTTGTAATTCTCATGAGGATGTCGTCCAGCTACCACAAAATCTAGACCACCCAACATCGAATCCATTACTAGTTGGAAAACAGCAGGCGCTACCTTAACCCCAAAAGGTAATCTGTTAAATTTATACAGACCCCCGATGTGTATTTATACACAAAAGTTTTGACATTTCTTTTTCTACCGGTATTTGCAAATATCCATCGCTGAGGTCTATCTTCGAAAATATTGTGCCTCCATTAAGCTTCGCAAATATTTCTTCCACTGTTGGTAAAGGATAATTATAGTCTTTGAGTGCCGAATTTAAACCCGTGGAGAAATCAGCACAAACATGAATTTCTTTAGACTTTTTTTTCACATATACCGTCGGTGTAGCCCATTCACTAGACTCAACTTTTTCAAGTACACCGGTTTTCTCTAATCTGTCCAATTCTTTATCTATGTGTTCAATTGAAGCGAACGGCACATTCCTTTTCTTTTTGAATACCACCTGAGTGTTTTCTTTTAGCTGGAATTTTGCCTCCATCTTGGTACACGTTCCCAAACCTGGAGAAAAAAATGTAGGAAATGTTTCCTTAAGTTTCCTTACTAATTTTTGGGCTTCTGAGTTTAAACTTTCAACCTTGTAACAGAAAGAACTTATCGGTAGATCCCATAATTGAAATTCTGTTATCCAATTCGTACCAAGTAAGTTTGTAGTATTTTCTATGACAAATAGTTTAGCTTTTCATGTTTTTTTTTTATTTAACGTGACGTTTGTAACAAATTCTCCAATAAATTGTATTTTTTCTCCCGTCACTGACCTCCTAATTTTATTTGTTTTCATTAAAGTTGGTTTCCCCAAGTTCTTCCACGTATGCAAATTTATAATAGGTCGGAACCAGTGTTGAGTTGCATTTTTATTTTTTTATTACTTATTCCGACGGTAACAGATTTTCTGGTTATTCCATCGTTCACCTCGTTGGACTTTAATTTTCTTATTTTATTGTCTTTGTTTTTTTACCTGCAGTGCGAGCTTTTATGACCCACTATTTTACAATTGAAACATTTTTTATTCCTAAAATTGCAATATCTGTACCAGTGTAGTTCACTGCAAGCAAAACATGGCTTCGGGAGTTTGTTTATTTTTCTCTGGTATTTCACTTTTTGTTTGATAATCCGCAATTTTAGAATTCTTTTTGGTAGACTGACTTTCTTTTTTGTAGCGTATTTTCCTTACATGCGAAATGCCAGACTGTTCTATCTTTTTCGAATCTTTCTTTACACTAACATATCTTGTGCAGTCTTCTGCCAACTTCTGTATCGTAATTCTTGGTTCATTTTCCAATTTTGACAGCGCTAATTTTCTCAACTCTGCGTCTCTTTCCGATACCAGCCCTTGAACAAACACTTAAAATTGTCAGCGTTTAACTCTGCTAGCTTGAATTCTTCACAATGCTTATTCACATTGGCTGTGTACGTTATATAGTATTGTTTGTCATCTTTCATCAGATTCAAACATTTTCACCTCCTCTGAAACAAAGATGTCTTTTTACTAAATAATTCACTTAATATATTTACCACCTTGGTAAAAGTCAACTCACTAGTTTTTTTCGGTAAAATGTAGTTTACCAATTTGTTATGCTCAGCAGTTCCTAACTTGCTTAAAAGAAGTCTAACCTTTCCTTCAGACCACGAGTGGCAGTTCTTGTTATACATGTCCGTATATTTTTTATAATACTCCTCAAATGTTATCTCTTCATCTGGACTGTACATGAATATTTCAATTGAATTCCATATTGTATTCTCTGGGAAAGAATCATTTTGTAGATTTTTCTCTTTCCTCTTCTCAGTTATTTCCAGAATTTTGTTTTGAAACTCCCTATGCATCTGTTCCATTTCTTGTTGAAACTGCATTTGTCTATTAAAAGTTTCCTCCTGTAGTTGCATCTGGAATGTTTCCTGTTGCTCTAATATTGTCATCTGTTGTTCCGTCTGGAACTTAAAAATTTCCTGGAATATATTTTTGCATTCCTCCATCTACGCAAAAAGTTTACACAATGCTTAAATATTGTAGGTGGGGGGGAGGTCCTACGAATTTGCAATTCGTGACCTATTTGAGCAAACTGTCTTATAGAGAAAAAAAAATTCTTTTCTCAGTTGAGAATACGACTGATTTTTTTCATC